TGTTCGTACAGTCTAGGAAATGGATAAATCCATTAGTAAATAGAACAGGAAAGCCATACACAAAACTAAAGACCCATCTTGAGGGTGTAGGTACTCACCTCATATCCACACTCACATCCTCAAGGTTCCCCAAAATCTTCCAAAGCATTAAATGAAATTCAGATTTCTACGATAGATTACAACTAGTTTGAATACTCCTGACTTATAATGCTTAATACCAATCAGTACGACAGTTACATTGCTGATGTATGAGAGTCCGAATAACAAGCACATAAATAATATGAACTGTTAAAATTATCACTTTTTAAAATATTTAATATCACTACTACTGTATTTACCGAACGGAATGGATATAAATTTATATAAACGAACTAACAGTCAGTGCAATCAAAATTAAAAACGAAGATGCATGACAAGCGAATAGCAACAAAGCATTCTAAGAAAGAGAGTGCCAGTCAAAACAAATAAGACAAGCGATTTACTGACAATTTATCATTAATTGAAGAGCAATTATCAACTATTAGACTTTTGTCGCTTAAATCATTTCTTTTTATCTTTCAACAACATTAAATAATTCACTCTTCGTCATTTCCTTGCTACATGGATGAAGGAAGATACGACACATCATTTTTTTTCATCACTGCATACATAATCTATGTATGTATGCATACTTATTGTTGTTCGACAAAAACAGTTATAATGTATCATGAAACAGAATGGATAAAGATTAGGACGACAAATTTTATAACTATTCAAATCCCCATGGGAAGATTTTTCTTGTTCTCTTATATTAAGTGAAGCTCTGATAAGGGAAATACTCATATATTCTCACTCAATACGCTATGCATTCGGTGGGAAAATTACATTTTTGTCTAAAACTTCTATATAATATATAATGTTTCAATTATATATACTGATTTACTCGTTAATTTAACAAAAAATATCGATGCAGACCCATTCAGAAGCAAACACTTTGTGTACTCCTTTACATCGAAGGTAGGTTTGATATAAGAGTGATCTTTCGAATGGATTTATAATATCTATTATCATTTCAGACAATCATCTCGATTCCTTGGTATAATTATCATTCTGTTATTGATTTTCCTTGTCGCAATACTCGTTCTATACGGAATTGAAATAAACAAAACAAAAGGTACGTATACATGAATTCTATGCAAGTTTAATTCAATACTATTTTTAGTAGAAAATACTAGCGATTTATGTTTAACTCCGTATTGCATCAAAGCAGGTCAGTGAATTTTGTCACACTAGTAAAAATTATTTTATGTTTTAAGCAAATTATCTGATCGAAAGTATTGACGAGACAATCGATCCATGTGAAAACTTCTATGAGTTTGCTTGTGGAAAATATATTAAAAATGCCATAATATCATCGGAAAGTGAGTACAAGAAGAATTATAAAACAAATTAATTCTATACTTTATCATTTGCAGGTAGTGAACAAAGTCCAACAACACAAATAGCAAAAAACTTAGGGCATACATTTGCCGGTACGATATATTATTCTTGTGTTTTATATGTTCTCTCTCGTTTTTCGAAGATTTGTTATCATCGTCACCATCAAATAGAACAAAGAAGTCCAAAGCAATTACTAATGCTCGTCGCTTATATAGTTCTTGTATAGATGAAGATACTATTGAAACAGAAGATGTCGATGTAATAATGTCAATGATCAATAAAGAGCTTGGAGGTTGGCCTGTCTTGCAAGGCTCGGCCTGGAATGAATCAACATTTGATTTTGATCGATTGATGCTCAAATTAAGTCAATACAATAACTACATATTTTATACTGTAAACACAGGTGTTGATGAGACGAATTCATCGATTCGAAGTATTCATGTAAGAGTCAATAGTTTAAATCATTGCTAATAAATATTCCACTTTTAGATTAGACCCTCTAAACTGATTTTAGACATTTTAAATCACTATTCCAAAGGAATAGAGGCTTACCAGTATTTCTTTAAAAATTTTACTCTGGCATTGACCGATGATTCATCAACAATCGATGATGACCTTATTGCTTTAATAGGTTTCGAAATGGACCTTGTCAAAGTAAATTTATTTTTTCGAGCAGACTTTCTGTTTCACTTCTTTTATTTAGTACATTGTATCGCTAGACAAACTAGATTTGCACGAAACTGTTCATACAACAGTTGGTAATCTTTCAAATACAATCAGCGTAAGTGTCAACTTTCTCCTCTTCTTTCTTCATCTTTTTATTCAGTTCGATTCTTCTAACTATATTCGTCGCTTGTATCTGTTTGCTAATGTCTCTGTCATCGATGCAGACATTGTAATTGTGGATGCACCTAAATTTTTGCATGGTATTTCATCAATTATTGATCGAAAATCACCGCGTACCATGCAAAACTATATGATATGGCGCTTCATGATGAATCGAGCATGGTATATGCCAAAACGATTTCGAAATATTCTAAAACAATTTCAAGATGTAGTTTATGGCACAAGTACTGCCGAGTCACGTACAATTACATGTGCTAATTATGTCAATACAATGATGAGCTTGACGGTTTCAAAACTCTACATCGACGAACATTTCCATAAAGATGCTCGAAAAGAGGTAATGAGAAAATAATTCGATAATAGAAAATGTTTGTCTGTCATGATTTTGATAGACAACTAAAATGATCAACAATATTCGAAAGATCTTTATCACGATGGTCAATCAATCGACATGGATGGATTCAACATCGAAAATCATAGCGATTAAAAAAGTAAGTTATTCATTCGATCAATCTTAAAACTAGTTTTTCTATAGGCTCAAGCTATTACAGCAAAACTTGGTTATCCTGATTATTTAGAAGGTGATGATATGACGAAACTTGATAAAACCTATGCTGAGGTACGACATAAAATGAAAATCTATTATTCTTTTTATTTCGAATTTAGTATAATTTCAATTTATCTTATATGCCGAATGTTTTAAGTGCCATTCAACTACATACGAAAGCAAACCTTCAAATGCTTCGCTATCCTATCGATAGTAAAGAATGGACTGGTATCCTTCCCACAAATGTCAATGCCATGCATAGATTATTAGCGAACGAGATCTGTATGGAAGAGTCTCCAACAATAAACAAATAATATCATCGTTTTTTCTTTAGTGTTTCCAGCTGCCATACTTCAAACACCTTTATTCGACAAAGATGCACCAAAGTAAAACGTCATTTTCTCATATTATCATAATATCTTTCATATCTTTGATAGGTATCTCAACTATGGTGGTAAGAATAGATTCAATGAGAAGAGAGAAACAGGAAAATGACATTGAATTTAGGTATTGGCTTTTTTATGGGACATGAGATTGCACATGGATTTGGTGATGAAGGGAAGCAGTATGATCTGAATGGAAATAAAGTTTTATGGTGGAGTAAGGCGACTGACAACGCATTTGACACACGCAAGAAATGTTTTATCGAACAGTACAACAACTATAATTTGACTCAAGTCAATCGTCAAGTATTTCTTTCTTTTATTTTTTTTTGGTTTATTCAAACATAAAATCTTTTTCATTTAGGTAGATGGAGAACAAACACTAGATGAAAACATCGCCGACGATGCAGCACTTAGACAGGCTTTCTTCGTAAGTTTTATCATTTCACTGATTCAAGATTTGAACCTAAATATATTATTTAGGCGTATCAGCAATGGGCTAAGACTCATAAAAATGTTGACAAGAAACTTCGCGGTTTAACCAAATATTCAATAGAACAAATGTTCTTTATGAACTTTGGTCATACATGGTGTACGAAAATGACAAATGAAGCTGCGCACTTGTATATGGACAGAGATGTGCACTCACCTGAACAATTTAGGTAAAGTTATTTTTATACGTCAGTCTCTGCTATCAAAAACGATTTATGCTTCTAGAATACGTGGTCCAACTTCAAATTTTGCTGAATTCGATCGAGTATTCGGCTGCAAAACAGGTCAAGGCAATAGTCGAGTGAACAAGTGCAACGTATGGTAGTGGCTTTATAGTACTGTCTCAATAAATTACATCGAATATATATATGCACTTGTACAAAGCGTTTTTTATTTCATTTTTTGTTTTATTATACGTGGGTGTCGATTACAGATTAATATAACATCCACACTCACATTAAATAAAAACATGAGCAACTTATATTTTTGCAGAGTATGATGTTTCTCTTTGTATATTATCATAAAAAAATATTTCATTTTCTTTAAAATACGAAACACAAATTCAACATGATAAAAATTATCAATTGAATACAATAAATCTATTAAGCGAATAACTTTTTTTTAAAAATTGACAAATAGATTAAAATTCTTGTTAGTCAAACTAATTTTCAGATAAATCTTATTTTATTATTTCAACTACAAAATATAAAATTTTCTTTTTTTTTTAATTATATTTGACGTTTAGTAATATTTGCTAATAAACCATATTTTGTTCCTAATATTATTTTAACTTCTGGAATTATTTTTTGTCCAGGTATTAATTTAAAATCACATTGTTTTACAAGCATAGCTAACATGACTTTTACTTCTAATGATGCAAAAAATTTTGTTCAATACAATTTCGTGAACCAGCAGCAGAAGGAAGATAAGCAAATGAATGAACTAATTTTGGTTTAAGATCATTTTTTGAATCGCGAAACCAACGAGTAGAATCAACGTTGTGGGTTTTCTTTTCATTCTACACCCACACCCTCACCCACATCCTTGAAATTATTTCCAACTTTCTTCACCTTATTTAGTTTTCATTTTTCAATCTTGTTTCGTTATGAAACACTAAAAATCTATTTGATCAAAAATAAAACGTGTTTTTTTCTTCTCTTCTTTGCTTGAAGTTTCATTAGTGAGAAAAAAATTCTTTTTCGATTTCTTCTACTACCGAACAGTGCTTTTATTATCGTTGAGTCATTAAGTTTATATTTATAAAGGCAAACAAAAAGATTATTCATTTCATTTATAAATTTATATTCAAAGACATGGCAATGGTAAATAACGAAACACACTGTTTTATATGTAATGAAGAAAAAATAACATTTCCTTGCGAAGGATGCTCAAAAGAATTTTGTTCAGTTCATTTAACAGAACATCAACAAATATTAAATGAATTAAATCATATTGTTATCAATTATAATGAACTTAAAGAAAGAATCAGTAAACAAAAACAAAATCCAATCGATCATTCGTTAATCGAACAAATTAATCAATGGCAAATAGATTCTATTGAAAAAATTAAACAAAAAGCACACGAGTACAAAGAAATCCTTATTGAATCATCACAAACATGTATTACTGATACTGAAATGAAATTTAATAGCTTGAATGAACAAATGAAACAAATTCATCAAGAAAATGAATTGAATGAAATTAATTTAGAATATTTAAGAAATCAATTGTTGAAAATGAGACAACAATTAAATAAATCATCAAAGGTTTTTATTCAAGAAAATTCACAATCGTTTATTAATGATGTTTCATTTATTTTATTAAGTAAGATTTTAAGAAATAATTTCTAGAAGAACAATTCGCATTTTCTATAAAACTATGTTGTAAAATCGATAATAATACTATTCATAGAAAGAGAAAATTCAATTTATTTCTATGTAAAAAAAAAAATGATAAAATATGAAAGAATATTAAATTACATGAAAAATTCTCTTCAAAGATTCAAAAAAATGTTTCATTGATAAGATCAAAATCAAATTATTTTCAAATTTTTATTTAATAAAAAATAAATCCACAAAATCTTTTCTCTTTTTCAATTAGATATTTATCAATTTGTTTCACAAATAAACTGTCTTTCAATAAAATTATTCTTTCTTTTCCAAACAACATACTTCTTCATTTCATTTTAACAAATTTTATTCAAACAAAACACTGAAAGATTTTTTTCTTTTAAAAAGAATTTATTTTTATTTTTCACATACAAAGCTTCAAATGTTTTATGTTCTTTTTCAATAGAACTTCTTTCAAACCTCAATAAAAAATATCAAATAAAATTTGTCTTTTCATTACACATTTTTATCGACATTTTATTCAAAATTCCACTTTATCAAAAAACAAATTTAAAGTTTTATTGAAAACTAATCTTCTTTTATTCAATAAAAACAAAATTTTCTTCTTCTTCTTTTCATCAAAATCTTTTATTTTCATTGTTTTCTAGAACCAAAATTCAACAAATGGAAACAAAATGCCATCACTGTAGCTGGTGGAAATGGACGAGGAGAAAAAACGAATCAACTAAAGTACCCTCACGGAATCTTTATTGATGAAAACAAAAATATTTTCATTGCTGATTGCGCTAATCATCGTATTGTTGAATGGAAATATAATGCAAATGAAGGACAAATCATTGCAGGTGGAAATGGCCCAGGAAATCAAATGAATCAATTAAATCAACCTACAGATGTGATTGTTGAACAAAAAAATCATTCGATCATCATTGCTGATGCAAGGAACAGACGAGTGATTCAATGGTTGAATCAAACTCAACAAATTCTCATTGACAATATTGACTGTTTTGGTTTAGCAATTGATAAAAAAGGATTTCTTTATGTTTCTGATATTGTGAAGAATGAAGTAAGACGATGGAAAATGGGGGAATATAACAATGAAGGAATTGTAGTGCCAGGTGGAAATGAAAATGGAAGTCAACTCAATCAACTCAATTCTCCTGGTTTAATCTTTGTTGATGAAGATCAATCTGTTTATGTGACAGATAACAGGAATCATCGTGTAATGAAATGGAGAAAAGATGCAACAGAAGGAAGAATTGTAGCTGGAGAAAAAGGTAGAGGAAGAGATCTCAATCAATTGTTTTATCCTGAAGGGGTCATTGTTGACGATTTGGGTCAAATCTATGTGGCAGATGGTGTGAATAATCGAGTAATTCGTTGTTATGAAGGAAAAGAAGAAGGCGAAATTGTTGTTGGCGGAAATGGTTCCGGAAGTCAACCGAATCAATTGACAAATCCCTCTAGTTTATCTTTTGATGATGAGGGAAATCTTTATGTTGCTGATTTTTTGAATTATCGAATTGAAAAATTTGAAATAATATTGTGAATGAAATTTTGATTTTGAAACAAA